CTCTGGCAAACAAGACTCGCCATTCACAACTCTGCCACCCGCACGGCGCATGCGCTGCCTGCCCGCTCCCCCGCCCGCCTATGGGGCTGGGGGGGCCCACTGAGAGCTGGAGGTCTCTGCGTGAGGACCCCTGGTCACTCTGTGGGGAGCGCCGGGTGCCTACCACCGGCCTTTGATCATTACCTGCGCCTTGTGGACCCCCTTTTACGCTCTTCGTTGGTGGTCTGGAACTTTGAAACCTCGAGTTGCTTGGAGTAACCCCAGAACTCGATGGAGAATGAATGTGGAGAACTTCACGCCCCCAAGCCCACGAAGAAGAGTGCGTGTAGGCTGTGCGCATCGAAGACTGAAGGCTAGAAGTGGAAACAAAGCAAAGGATCCATCCGAATGTGCTTCGTGGTGGAGAGGTCGGTTAGTGGGGTCAGATGTGCCTGAGAGAATACCCAGCTCGGCTTCACTAACTGCCTCTTGGGGACTTTGTAAAACAAACACTGGGCATTTAAGCCTCGAGTTCTTGCTGTCCAAAATGCAGACATCAGCCTGTCGGTGCCAGTGTGAGCACCTTTATGCGTAGGCGAGCCCACTCCTCGGCCATCAGTTTGTTCACAAAGCTGAAGAGGTTGGTTACCTGTGGGGAGCAGGTTTCTGGGGCGATTCCCAGACTTAAATCGGACTGAGGTCGAAGGCCTAGCAATCTAAATCTGAAAATAAGCCAATGAAAACCCTGTGGGCTGTCCTCTTGATGATTGGCAGCCTCAGAGAACATGTGATTCTTGAAAGAGATGAAGAGGGGATTGCCCCAAAGAATGACCAGGAGGGGTGCATTGTGGGCCCACTGAAGTTTGTATTAACTACATTTGATGCTATTTTTAATGTGCCGCCTGAAGATTCTAGTTAAACTAAAAGGGAAGGAACCTCCATATCAACACATACATAGTGCAAACAAAACCAATCTTCTCCAGTGGCCTAGTGGGTAAGAATTTGTGCTGCCAACTCAAAGGCATGGGTTCAAATCCACCAGTGGCTCCTTAGGAGAAAAGTGAGAAATCTGAAAATCAGAGGAGGAGGATCCACTATGAGTTGGTTCCTACTCAACAGTATTAAGATCGTATCTGCAGTTGATGTTGGGAAGTGAATGAGGCATAGGGAGAGAAAGCCCCTCCTTCGTTCATTTGCTGTCTCTCCCACAAATCTTTCTGGGCCAGCATAGAAGACCTTGGAGCATTAGGACAGCTTGACCATTTGCTAACCAGTGCCTTTGCTCCAAGTCAGCAGGACAAGTTAATAACCTGTGGTCCATGCAGTGGACTCACCGAACAGGATTTTCTACTGCTGGCCCTGACAGTGTGAAAAAAGGGATCAACCTTCCCGCTGTATCCCAACACATTCTGTAGGTAGATGTTTGTACCAAACTTTCCATTATTATCCAGAAGGAGCTTATAGCCTGTAGCTGATCTTAGCTTTTAAATTCTAGCAAAAAATGTTTCTGCTGTGGGAAATGTGAAATAAACCAAAGATGCTAGATCACTAACCCACGGCCGTTCTATTGATTCTGACCTACAGCCACCAAGGTTTCCAAGGAGGTAAATCTTACCAAGAGCCGACTGCCTCATCTTCCTCCCTTGGAATAGCTGGTGAGTTCGAACCTCTAACTTTTCTGTTAGCAGCCTGACACTTAATCACTATGTCACCGGAGCTCCTTGTAAGATCATAACAGTAATATAAATTGCCAGTAGACACTGAGTTAGGAGGAAGAAATGGTCAGGGTTCATACAAATCCTAGAAACTGGGCCAGGTAAGAAGAACAGAGAGAGGACAGGACAGGGCGCTCTGTCTGCTCTACTGAGCCACAGGGTTGGGAATGGTGTCCCTAGAGAGGAATGGAAAAGCCTGCCAGGCAGACCCAGAGCAACAGCACCACAGACATCCCTTAGCAACTCGAGGCCGCAGGGTAACCCACACTCGGTGTTGTCTAGCGTCCAACAGGCCAACGGGAAACCAGCCACAGCGGAAGGAGGCCATCTCCTCGCCTGACCTTTCTGTGTTGTTTTGTCTTGGGCTTTTTAAAAAAAATTAAATTGATGTTTAAATTTTTCAAATATTAAAAAAAAAAGCTACATGAAAGGATATTTCATCCATGCTGCAGATATTAGGTCTGTGCTTTTAACAGTTGTCAGGCTAGGTTTGGATCAGTTCAGGCACCAACCCATGGAGAAACTTAATAAAGTTAGCGCTTCTAGGGCCATAGGTCCATGGCGTCTTCTAGTCACCGAGAAGCGTCCTACAGCCCCACCCCCCCAAAAAAACCCCAAACCCAACCCTGAATGAATTCTCTGAAGCATTCCTTTCCTGATGATTCAGGCAGCTCAGAACCTGTTCTTGGCATCTTCTTACTCTCTTTGGTGGGCAGCTGCTCCTGCAGGATCCCCAGGCTGACTTTAAGCGGGTGAGCAGTGAATGAGCAATATCAGGGAATGATCAGTTCTCTAGCTCAACTGTGGATCCCTGAGCTAAGTATTTCATGCTGTTGACCTCAGTTAATCCTCCATCTAAGATCTTCTTTTCCCCATCTGACAAACAAGCAATTTTAAAAATTAAAAATTACTAGACCCTGACCTATTAAAGATAACACAATGGATACGCATCTTGGGCTATATCATCTTCACGTGTTTCTCTTCATAATGCCACAAGTTTGCTATTACCAATCCAATTCTAGAAATTCAGAAGGAGCTCTAATTATATAGTACATAGCATGTTGGGCTGCTAACTAAAGTGCTTTGTGTTTCTGGTGGGTGGGATCCACCCAAATCTTCTCCAATTAAGATTTACAGCCTTGGAAAATACAATGAAGGATAATGAGGAATCAGAATCTACTTGATATGAGTGAGTGGTTGCCAGAGATGAGGAAACCAGGTCTCAGAAAGGCTGAGTTAATTGTCCAGGGCTGTCCAGCTAGCAAGTGCTGGACCCGAGAGTCATGCTGTTTACCATTCCGCTGCTAGTAGAGATGCCAGAAATCCCGCCAGCTGCCCTGTAGAACTGAGAGGTCATGGAGAGCTGAGGCCAGGGCCGTTGCTCCTGGAGCACCTTACCACAAAAGTCCCTATGAAGTTGAATTAACGGGTGCCCTATTATGGATCCTGTAGCCTGATAGGTTGTGCATTCTTGCCTCTGGGTCTGTTTCTTTCTGAGTTTGAAGGTCATCCAGCATCTCCATCTTGGACACCCTGCCTCCCCAGGTCCAGCAGAATGGTCTTGTCTAAGTCTGGTACTAGCAGCCACCCTCATGTGCTTCTCTTCATTGAGGGGGTGGGATTGTCCTCAAGTCTCTGTGCCTTCAGTGCATTTTTTTTCCCAGGGAAACCATTTGCCTTCAGCTATTGAAGAAATTCTGAATCATTTTGAAGCTGAAATATGATCTGGAGCCACTCTGAGGGGAGTGGGAGAGAAGGGAAATGAGTGACTGGCACAGTGCCTAAAGCCCTGGCTCCATCCAGCTTCTAGTGTTTGAAAGGAGACCAATTTAAGTCCAGGGTGAGGGTGTCATCTGCTTGTGTAAGGCAGTTTTCTGGGCTCTAACGATTTTTTTTTCCCATTGACCGATCCTAAATTTCACATGCCTTAAAACTCACCACTTAAAATCCCCTCTACCAATGGGTTCTCCCCTTCCTTAGCACCCCCTGCACCCCTCCCCCAATAGCTCAGCTATTCCAGAGGAAGAGGAAAGCAGAGAGGAGCAAATTTCCCCAGAATAGCGTTTCTACAGTGTCGGGATCAATAAACCCGTTTGCTTAAAAGGAACCAGATGATTTCATCCTTGTAATTACAAGTTTGACGTTTGCAAATCTTCCCCAGGCTCCAAATGAGCCTCTTTGTCATGAGGAGGCTGGGGGAAAGGGTTGTCTGGGTGTCTGGAGATGGGACTGAGCCTGGTATGGTGGGAGGAGGGCCAGACTGGGGGCAGGAGGCCTATCTGGCCATACAGGGCTTTGGACTGTTCCCCTTTCCTCTCCTATACCCTGTGTTATGGCTGGAATGAAAAGCAGGCTTGGGGCTAGAGATGGACATCTGGTGGGCTCCAACCTTGCCACCTTCCTCCCTAAAGGACATCAAGTCTCCCCTTTGCTCATGCCAGACAGACAGAAGCCCAGTCTGTCATTCCAGAAGCCCCAACAATCTTTTCTTCCCTTCCCATCATACCCCCCATCATTCCTCCCTCTCTGCCCTACATTCCAGCCACCCTGACTGCTTGCATTTTCCACATGCATCTGTGTCTTTGAGGTTGCTATCCCTTCTATGAGCTTGTCTTCCTTCTCTTACACTGCTGGAAAAAACACGCCTTTCAAAAGTGAGTTCAGGAACCACTGATTGTCCTCAGCAGAGTGACTGCTCCAAAGCAATGCAATGTGCTGCTATCAGCTTGCCTCAGCCCCAGTAGAAACCTGGTCCAATAGAAGCCTTGGCCCCAGTAAAAACCTTTGGTAGGATTTGATTCCTTCTACCCCCATCAACTAATATGTTGTTGTTGTGTGTCGTCTAGTTAGTTCTGACAATAGGACAGAGCAGAATGGCCCCATAAGGTTTCTTAGGCTATGATCTTTAGGGACAGAGTCCTGATGGCACAATGGTTAAGTGCTGGGCTACTAAC